GAGTAGAGTAGAGTAGAGTAGAGTAGAGTAGAGTAGAGTAGAGTAGAGTAGAATAGAATAGAATAGAATAGAATAGAATAGAATAGAATAGAACTCTTTATTGACCAAGTGTGATTGGACATTCAAGGAATTTGTCTTTTGCACTCAGTGTACATAAAGAAAATATAAAATACATTCATCAAGAATCATAACATACAACACTTAGTGATAGTCATAGGTTACTAATAAGCAATCAAATCATAGTACGAAACAAATGAAACAATATAAATTGTAAAGATACAAGCAACACAGTTAGTCATAAGTGGGAAGAGATAGGTACTAGGAAGGATGAGAAGAATAGTAGTAATATAGTCTCAGTAAATAATTTGACAGTGTTGTGGGAATTAGTTGTTTAGCAGAGTGATGGCATTCAAGGAAAAAACTGTTCTTGTTCTGATATGCAGTGCTCTATAGCATCGTTTTGAGGGTAGAAGTTGAAACAATTTATGTCTAGGATGTGAGGGGGTCTGTAGATATTTTCATAGCCCTCTTTTTGACTCATGCAATATACAGGTTCTCAAATGGAAGGCAGGTTGGTAGCCATTGTTGGTTTTTTTGCAGTTCTAATTTTCCGTTGAAGTCTGTGTCTGTCTTGTTTGGTTGCAGAGCCAAACTAGACAGTTACAGAGGTACAGATGAAATACTCAATAATTCCTCTGTAGAATTGAATCAGCAGCTCTTTGGGCAGTTTGAGCTTTCTGAGTTGGTGCAGAAAGAGCATTCTTTGTTGTGCTTTTTTGATGACGTTTTTGATGTTAGATGTCCATTTTAAATCTTGAGATATGACAGAACCTAGAAACTTGAAGGTCTCTACTGTTGATACTGTGTTGTCTAGTATTGTAAGAGGTGGTTGTAATGGAGGGTTTCTCCTAAAATCTGCCACTATTTCTACAGTTTTGAGTGTATTTAGTTCAAGATTGTTCTGGTTGTACCACAAGTCTAGTTGTTCAACCTCCCGTCTGTATGCAGACGGGAGGTTTATTTAGAGAATAATTATAATTCTATAGTCTTTTTGGAGAGAATTCTGGGATTTTATTAAATAATATTCCTTATATTTAATAATAAGAAGCTAATTTGGGGTATTTGTGAATATGGAAAAAAGAAGGCATAGAAATAATTTTTAAATTATGTTAAATGGTATAAACTGCTTTTCTGAAAACTGAAGTGTGGTATACAAATATTTCATACAAATAATTTTATGATTTATACAGCATTCTGAAGTCTCCATTGGAGAGCAGTAATACAAATATTGCTTTACTATACCGTTGCAAGAGTGCTAACAACTACAGGTTGGACTGGAAAATAAATCGCTGCCGTTAGTGTTGAGGTAAATTCATAATCTGTCGTTTGGTTTAATTTATTTATTTAGAAGATTTATATGTGTGCCCATTCACTCTTGGTGATTCGGGGGGCTTACAAACAATAAAAACCCAATATAAAAGAATAAAAATCAACCACCACCCCAGTGACAACAAATAGCATCATAGATAGAAAACAGGTTGGTCCTGTTTCCCATTCAATAAATTTCTATGATGAAAAATATGGCTGCTCTCAAAGTTGTTCTTACTACCTGCCATATAACTACAGTACATAACTTCTATTATAACTTCTATTCTCATCTATGAACAGGTAAAATTAATTACAGTGTAATTGTGCTAATGGAATATTATGTAAAAATTATTTTAATCCAGTTTCTTTATAGATTGTTAGACCCTGACTGACAGGAACCCTACAAGTAGGAAACCCTTCCACCACTGCATGTCTTAATTATGGTATGTATCTAAAATAAACACTGCATGCATTTAAATGTTCAGAATAGGTAGGTAAAACTGCCTATTTTCTGCACAAAAAATAAAAAAGTAAAGACCACAATTAGGAATATGAAGAATAAAGACTAGAGTGTTGTTTGAAATTATATAGCAAGCATTAATTGAGCAGCAGGAACATAAAACACATTTAAAATAGGAAAACACAACTATACAGATTTGCCCCTATGCAAATATTTACTACATATAAAAAATAAATAAAAGGGGGTATTTTTGATAGAAAATATTTAATTTTTCAAATGTACTAAACTATATTTGAAGTGTGATTCATACTATATGATGTATCGTGCTAATGTTCTTATAGTTATAGAGGCAAAATAATTTATTTTATTCCAGAATGCATGGAAGTAGATGACTAAATTTAATGCCCTTTGTTATAAATAGAAAGAAAATTTCCCCAGGTTTTATGTGGTAGTGTATATAATGAAAGAATCTCCTTCTTGTTGAGTTCAAACAAGCTATTCCTAGGATCTATGTACTCAATCTTTCTATTTGAATACAAGTAGTCCTTGACTTGCAACCACAAAAGGTACCAAAAATTTTGTTGTTAAATGGTATGATCATTAAGTGAGCCTGAATGCACCCAATTTTACGATCATTTTCCTGTGGTTGTTAACTAAATCACCATGGTCATTAAGTGAAATTTTATTCGATTGTCATTTGTGATCTTCCCTGCTGGCCTCCCTATTGACTTTGCTTCTTAGAAGCTATTGCAAATGGCAATCAAGTGACTTGGGATGCTGTAACTGCTGTAAATTCATAACGATTGCCAATCACCTGAATCACCATCATGTGACCCCGGGGACACTGCGATGATCCTAAATGGGATGACTGGTCGTAAGTCACTTTTTTTCAGCACTGTTGTAACTTTGAACAGTTGCTAAAGAAACAGTGGTAAGTTTCAGATTATCCGTACTGTCGTTGTTTCTGAAAGCTAAAAAGCTTAACAGGTATAGAAGCAAAACAGGACACGAAGAAATGCTTAGGCTCCTACAAGAGGCTTGCATCATATTGACAGATTTATATCACTTAAAGAGCTAAGATATATGTACAATCCTGCCCCCAAAGTCATGTCTAAAATTTACTTCAGCACTGATAAGAAACCCTTTTAAAGAGAATAAGCCTAGTAGCATTATACCTTCTTTGAAATATAGCTGGGTGGAAGACAGTGTCAGCTCCAAATTCCTATAATAGGACAGTCAAATCATATACATCATTATTAAACTAGCTATGCTATAGAATCTCATTCTTCCTAATGCATTTGTTTGTTTTCATGGCTCTCCATGGTATACTTATTAGTCTTCCTCAACAAGAAAGTTCAAAAGCCTCAAGTTCCTTTGTATTCTGCTTCTTCAAAGACCAACTTTTGCTTCCATAGAGACTCTCAGAAAATATCACTGCTTGTACAATTGTACTGCTTCTACAATTCTGATTTTATACCAAAATACAGTAGCTATTGCTATAAATTCTCACATAAGCCTCAAAGGGTATAGGGTCATTGTGCAAATATTTATGCTGTAATTGTTCAGAACTGAAAAATAATTATGTTCCCAAACAGGAACATCTTATTCAATGAGAGAGATAATGGCTATTAGGAAACAAAAAACAAATAAATGAACAAAAGCATTAGAATCTTCACATGGTTGATTAAAAATATAATCAGCTATTTACTTATTGAATCTGAAAAGAACTATATTAGCTTATCCAGACTCCATATTTTGATAGTTTGCAGTCTAATATAGAGTTTGATAGCCTTAGCCAACTATGTGAACGTGGAAAAAAGCAGTAGCTTTGGCAAATTATGTCTTCATAGCATCCTATTCTGATTCTTCACCATGAAACTCCTATGTTCTATCATTGAAATTAATGCATCCCAGATGATTTTGTGATATGTTCTAAGAAAAACATTAATATCATGCCTACTTAAAGACATTTAATTCTATTTCAATGACTATGAGTAACAGA